TAAATCATATCAAAGACGGAGTACATCGAGATGAAATACTACATTTAGTAAGGAATTATAAGCCAAATAAAATAAAAACATCTGCCCTGAAGATAAGGATAGTGCTGACAGATCAACTTCCAATTCATTGCACGGCGTTAAAGATAAACAAAGTTTAGATAAACAAAAAGGATATGCCTTTATCCATTTTTTGCAGCAATTCCACTTTTTGTTTAATGGACTTCGAAACATACTTTCGCTTTGTAGATCCTTTACATATTAGTAAATATATATCAGAAATTCTATTTGACATAATCGAAAGTTCAAGCTTACTTTTATAAAATTGCTCTAACAGTCTGCAAAAAATAATAAGCCGGATCCAATTCGAAGATTAAGGAACAACGCAATCTGCAACATTAACTGAAATAGATAATTAGATAATTTTAGCTTAGCTTATACTGTCCATTATACATTAAACGCGCATTCGTAAACGTATTTTGCGCACGCGCAAATTCACAGCCGTAAAGGTCTTACGCGCATGCGTTAGCGCGACGCATGCGCAGAAAGTTTATAACTTTGAGGTCCAGATTATAGATCATTCCGGATTATGGGTGTCCGAATTAATGACTTTTGACTGTATAAAGTAAAATAACGTAAGTTAACAAAACATTTTACGTGGTAAATGTATATTTTAGGATACCCCTTGGTGAAACTTGGCGGTACATGGATATCGAGTTTGTGCAACTCTTTGACTTGTTATTTTGGCTTGCGTAGCGGCGATTTTCGGGGCAAAAATCGCCGCTACGCAAAGCCAAAATAAGAAGAGAAAAAATTGCACAAACTCGGTATCCATGTACACATCGACCTATTTTAACTTAAAAAAGCATCCCAGAATTGCCCAAAAATGGCATCGCGCACTCTCTTGACTTTATCCATGTGCACATCAACCTATTTTCACTTAAAAACATCAGAGAATTTCACAAAATAGGTTTCGCGCACTCCCCTGATTTTGTCCATGTACACATCGAGCTATATTCACTTAAAAAGTCAAAGAAGCAGCCAACAGAAAAATATATAATCTGAATAAACTACATTTTAAATCAAACAATGAAATAACATAAAAAAAAAAGAAAATTCATCTTAGCACTACACGAAGGAAATATCCACTTACCTTATTTACGAATTTAAGCAGCTTCAGTCAAACACAATTCCTTAACAGCATTCAAACACTTCCTAAAATTAACTGAACTAGAATCTGTATACTGGTGTAGCCATATAAATTCACAAAAATAAGAGTAAAAAATATCCCCCGTTCGAATATATCCGATGTTCGACCATACTTATTTCCTTCCTCCAAACAGGACACTTAATATGGCTACTAAGTAAACCTTCATTTGCACACCAGTCAATTAATGCTTTTTTTTCTTTCATTCCAAATCCTAAAGAAACTTCAAATTAATCTTACCACATTCAGCCAATTTAACGCACAAACCACAAAATAACAACGTATTAATCCATTACACACAAGCCCTTACCCAAAATTCTACACACATTTTTCAAATTTTTTCCCATGATTCAAATTCACCGCAACCAATTACGCCATAATTGGGTTTCTATAGCATTCAACAATTCAGGTTGTCATAAATGAGACAACAACTTGGCAATATATGAAACAACGATTTCGGGGTTTTCATCCACTGAGAACCCGTTGGCACCGTTGCATTTTTACTCGCCAAGCCGTAAACGTGATTTTTACTGCATGTAAATTCAAGTTAGCAGACAAAACAATATATTAAGCATAGCATTCAGTATTGAAAGTTAACCTGTGTCTTTCACGTATAAGACGCAGGTAACTTTTTTGAGACCAAATTTAGGAAAAAAGGTGCGCCTTATATGCTGTCAAATACAGTATTCCTTACACCAGCAGTGGTTTGCTAATTTTGATGACCATGGTGATGCATCAACTATTCTGTCATCTTAGATAATCAATAATATTTTTTATTTCAATTTAATCATCTATTTATGTTACACCTGCCATCCTCTGAAAGGTTATTGTTAGAAAATCATTAACAATATATTATCTTGTTAAAATTTTACACCATAAAAATTGATTTATTCTCATAATTTTAATCCCGCCGTGTTATTTTCCTTTCATCCCGAACATAGAGCCGGCATCTATCTACGAAAATATTTCTATCTATTTGTTGTTAAAAAATTCAGCAAAAATAATAATAAATAAGAGAAGAATAATATAAATCTGCAAATGCAAACAATGAAAGTGATAATTCAACAAAATGAACGCAAGAGGAATGGTTGCAAACTTCGAACAAGCGAATAGGTTAAATCTGATGGGTTACCAGGTTTGAACTATTATCGCCAAAGTTGGCGATGTTTACATTTACCAGGTTCTCTGCGGAAGTGCTTCCCAATTTCACAATAATACAGGGGGTACCCTAATGTCAACTCTAACCATTTTACGTATTTAAAAAAATTGCTCAATTTAAAGAAAAATACAGTGTTTTTTATATGAATTTATTTTAAATTTCATAGACATTAAAAAACATCAATAACAAAAATTGATGGTTTTTTCAATAAATTTTGTCAAAATTTTGCAACGAGTAAGGGGTTAATGTATGTAAAACTATAATTACTGTTTCTAGAATAAATACATATTGAATAATATATTCACAGCGTAAAATTGCTTCAAGTGCCACATGCAGTCTCTGAGTTTGAGAATACTGCTATATTGAATAATTCACTTGTATGATGCTCAATATCTTATACACAATCAATGAACAATGAAGTTTACTTATAAGGAAGAAGATTTCATTGTAAAATAAAAATAAGCACGCCTTTTTGAGATATTAAAAAGCAATAGATTTCAACAAATCTTATACAGAGGTTTTCATTAAAGCAAAAATTAATCACATACTTGCAAAACACATACCTGCAAAAAATAAATAAATAAATAAACATACATAGTACTTATAAATGAAACACAAACAGATTAATGTCCTTTGCTGCATCTTTATAATTTGCTGATAATGCTGAAAAGCAGCAAGATAAATCAACTTACACTGTGGAAAATAACTCTAATTAGTAAAATATGACAATAGAATTTAGTAATTAGCAAAATTTAACAAATCAAAGGCACTAACAAAATGTTATTAGCATTCATAAATGCAAATTAAAACACAATAGTAACTCTAAGATTTACTTATATATGATTAGCATATTTATTACTATACCTAATTCAGCTCCTAGCAGTTCCTTACAGAATAATAGGCTTTTGAAGGATACAGTACATTGCTCAAAATTCCATCCTAAATGGCATATCATTCATTAACATTAATTAATCATTTCTTTATGAATAGTATTTACTTTATTTATTTATAAAAATAGTCGGCTAATCTTTAGAATATGGTAACAGGTAGTTTCGTGACATTTTGGTAGGGCGATAAAGGTTACTAGCTAGGACTTTAGCAATAATCTGAGAAGTACACAGTTTGAATCAGATTATTTTGTTTCAGAGAAATGAGAGATCATGAGACACGTAATGTGACATTTCTGGAAAATTCCAATGGCGATTTTAGCTAATAAGCACTTAAAAACAATTTCACTGCTAAAGTGTAGAATCGCCTACTTATTTGTTTGGCGCTTTTTACAAGAGTAAGAAGAATTGGATTTTTGTCACTTTTCTTTGACTTTTTAAGTGAAAATAGGTCGATGTGTACATGGCTAAAGTCAAGAGTGTGCGCAATGCCATTTTTGTGCAATTCTGGGATGTTTTTTTAAGTGAAAATAGGTCGACGTGTACATGGATACTGTGTATATGCAATTCTTAAAAACGTGGCAAGCAGTGGGTGATTCTACACTTTCTCCCAATTTCGCACCTAATCTTCATCATGATTAAGCACTTTTGTTCCATAAACGTTATAGCATCATAAGTGTAATTCGGCTAGCAGATTGTTGGAAAAAATGTTGAGTAAAAAAAAAAAAATGCCTTTACTTCGTGAAAACAAAATGACATCCAAAAAAAAAAAAAAAACTAGCAGGTTGCTGTAGCAGGGTTGGTCGCCAAAGTTTCGCCAAGTTACCATAATGTAAAGCTTCATCAAATAGTCTATAAATTTAAATAAAATGTGTTTAAATGAATCAAAGTAACATAGAAGATTAAATTAATATCTTTGAAACAATTATTTAAAAGCAACTTGTTATGTAACATGAACATTTCAAATTAATCTCCCTTCTTTTTAATAAGTGCTGTACGGTTTTTTTCAACACATTTTGACCAGAAATTTACCTACTGTAAAAAATAGCTAAGTATATCCTTCCCTCCAATTATTAACTCATATTCAACATTTGTAACATGTTGCAAGATTATAGTATTTTGATCTGGAGATGTTTTTGAGTTATTCACTAAACATTTTGATACAAGTCGCCAGTATTTCGTTAATGGGATATTACTCACACATCTGAATTATTTCCTTTAATGACAAAAACTTAGGATTTATATTTTGAATACCGATGTAATTCGAAATCAGACGTTCTTCAATTACATTACAAATCACCATTAAAAAAAAAGTTTTAAAGCCACACTTTTCTTTATATCTGGCAAGAATTGGGTGCCCCTTCGATAAGCGATATTTTTTTTTTTTTTTTTTTTTTTTTTAATTTTGGCAATGAAACCACATTTCTGGTTACCATGATAGTTTTAACTTTGTTTTAGCTTCCCGATTTTTTTTTAAATGAAAAGAGATTGATGTGTACATGGACAAATTTAACGCAGTGCGCAATGCCTAGTTTGTGCAATTCTGGGATGTTTTTTTAAGTGAAAACAGATCGATGTGTACATGGTCACAGAGTTTCTGCATTTCTTTGACTTTTTATTTTCGTTCTGTTTAGCGGCCATCTTGAAATTGTGCCTTCCTGGCGCCGATCTTGGCGTCAAAAAAGAATCGCCAAAAACAAGGCGCACCCAATTGTAAACTTTTACTATTTCAACTAGAATGAGTACTTACTTGCTTACGAGGAATGTTATGCCATTTACCAAACACTTTCACTTTTAGCAAATCGCCTCCAAAATATACCACTTCATCTTCCAATTGTCGAAATATATGGTCAGACATCCGTTTAGTAAAGATTTTGGAGTACTTAAGGCTTAAATCGTTACCTTTTATAATTCTCCAGCTGAAAGCAGTCAGTTGAAGATCACGGTACGGATCGAAAGAAATTCGTTTACGCTTAGAATCTGGTAAATTTTTTTCAGTATCTGATTGACCTAAAAAACTGCTTATATCGAGTTTATTTTTATGAGGAAAGGAATGTGTTGCACAGCATAATGAAAAATTCGCTGTTCCTTTCTTGTTCTGAAAATCATTTTCTTTAAACGTGATGCTGCTCATTGTCAAAATTACTTCATAAACATACTCAGTTCGAAATACGTAGGAAGATCACAGAAAAACAGCCTGAATACTGAGATAAGCCTCACCTGAAGAATCATGGGATCTCTTTCAATTACTGTAAACATACAAATTCAAATTTTGAAAATTATAAATGTACAAACATCGAATGATCCGTCTTCGTACCCGTTGGGAAAATTGAGGTTTCACTAAAAAGATATAAGAAAGGCAGTACACAATTTGGAAGATAGCAAATGATTTAAAGGGTACTATCCGGAGAACAGGTTTTGGTGGCGACAATTTGGCTTCTTTAAGGATGTAGGCGACATTTTATTACTATGACAACAGAAGAAAAGGCCCTTTTGGTGCAGAGGCGAAACAGGTTTACATTGCGTCTATGGAAGCTTTCATTCTTCTCCTTAAATAATATTTGCCTTAACAGCTAATTTTGAATTTTCTTCCTTCGGGCACAAAGACATGGGTGCATAAGAAGATGTCTGTTTGTGTCGGTCTGCGCTAAATCCCCAAACGCACAGGGAGGTCACGTGACATCCGAACTACGTGTGAGATGATGTCACATCAAAGATACGCCTCTTACGCTCAGTAAATTTCTGCGCATAAATTGAAACATGCTTGTGCAATATGAATTTCAGAAGCAGAGGAGAAAATTGGTCACCGTTAAATCCCAAAACGCGCAGGGAGGTCACGTGACATCCGAACTACGTGTCGATGATGTCACATCAAAGATACGCCCCTTACGCTCAGTAAATTTCTGCGCATAAATTGAAACATGCTTGTGCAATATGAATTTCAGAAGAGAAAATTTCTCTTGAAAATACACTGATGCTAACTAAATACATACCAAATATTAACGTTTTAACATGTATAGCTTTCCAATATACACTTGTGCTTATTTTAAATCATTGAGAAACATATGAGATTTCAGTTTTAAATTCATTCTGTTAATATTTCCAATACATTTCATCTAATAATTAGTGTTTTGTGCTTTAATTTCATCATTGTATTAGAAAAAAATTAATATTTCTTTCTCTATATATTATTCAAGTGAATAATTAATTAATTTAAAATTACGAAAATTTTGTAAAAAATGTTACAACTTGTATTATTTTATTGTATATCTGAAAGGAATCTGGTTTAAATATAAATTATTTACATAATCTTTGGATGGAAAAGCTATCATGTAATATATTTAAACGAAAGATCTACTGGAAGTTTTTTTTTTTTTTTTTTTTTTTTTAGTTTTGCATGTTCATAACTTTTAATTTGTATATAAGTTTGTTCTGAATAGTTTTGAAACATATATTGCACCCACACTAAATTTAAATAACAAATTTTTATCCTGTGAAATACACTCAAATTTTAATATGAATGAGCCGTTGTGAAGCTGCCAAGGTATTTTCATAGAAAGCTAATATCAATTTAAGGCTTAAAAATGACTTCAAAGATGGATTCCAGGCTTTTCTAGTGTAGATACGAGCCAGTTTTCCCCAGAAAGTCCTTCACAAAGACATCCATCGTTTTAGGTTGATAGCCCTTATGTGCTATAATCAAATAAATTAAACCAAGCTTTCGTAAGGATGTGATATTCTTTCTTCCTTATTATTATGGATCCGTTTTTTAAAGTTGTCAAGATTTTTGATGAATCGACAATGTAAACTAATCTGAAACATCTGGCAGCCCCAACAATGATGATTTACAGTTTGCTTAGAATGAGAAGAGCTTTGAGGAGACCATGTGATCATATTTCTTAACATGCAAATGTTAATAGTTCCTAATCACTCAGAATTCTCTCATCACAAGAAGAGCTCTCAGTATTCTATATGTTAATGAATTATTTATATTATAATCTTAAAATTCTTAATTTACTGAGAAGTGAGGAAGATGCTTGCTATATCTTTCTTTCAAGAAATGCGCATATTTTACATCATATTCGAGTATGCTAAAATGGACATTCAATAAAATTTCACATCAGTGAAAGCATGTAGAGTTGCAGCTTGAAAATTTGCTAATGAAAGAAAAGTATATGTTTTAACAGCTGGTTTAGTGGTTTCAGAAGACTGTTTGTAACAGCATAAAATGAAAGAAACACTACAAAAATGTGACTATTCACTGAAACATTTTTATAAGAGAGATATATTCTCTGCATATGATCCGCCAACCAAATATGGGAATAGGTGACCCTGAAAAAATTTTGGACATAGCAGAAAATCTGTTCAGACAACAAAACACCAAAACTGGCATGATTCTTCCATAATGCTGTATAAATGACAAGTTATGCCCAAAAACTGAAAAATTCTTTCCCGTTCAGTTTCTAAATAGAGAGCCATCCCCACTCATGCCAAAAGTTGTTAACCATCTACAAGAGGGAGTGACAATTTATTCAAACTTCGGGAAATAAAAACAAACTGTAATCAGCTTCAAATTTTTTGGCAAATGCATTTTGCACAAATGCTCATATAAAATATACTGTTCTCCTATGCATGAATTGCAGTTAAAATAATAGAATGGAAACTTTGAGCTGAATTTTTCCTTAACCCTCCAGGCGGCAAGGCCGTATATATGCGTTCGAAAATAATGGCTCTCATAGCGGCAAGGCAGCATATATGCGTCCAAATATTTTGGTCCTCATGGCGGCAAGGCAGCATATATACGTAAACTTAAATTTTGGCACGAAACGGCAAAGCAGCATATATACGGCCTGTCTCAGAGTGCCCTCCCCTCTCTGCTCTTAATGTAAACTGACAGGTGATATTTTTTTATCTGCGGGAGGTAATTGAGGAGAGGAAACTATCTATTCGCTAGGGGCAAATGGGTTTTATCGTTAGGTTTTGAATAACAGCTCGGAATAAATAGCTCGTTCAAAACTTCCAGCTGTTCCAGCTGTTCTGTGCTTATACCAGCTATAGTAAACTTAAATGTTTATATGTTCGTAAAGAGAATTTTCATTTTCCAGCCTAATTATTCTCCAAATTTTAGATGCAGTTTGGCAAAATGTAATTGGAATTAAAATTAAAATTGCAAGAAACTGCAACAATATTTTGAAATATGTGATTTCAATTATATTGCAATTGTAATTAGCTTCGCAATTACAATTAGAAAGTAAGTACTTTTTAAATGCAACAATAATGTATGTAATTGCATTTTAATTCTTAAGTCTTACAATTACAATGCAATGATAATCACAAACATTATAATTATATAATCTAATTACAATTACAAATTTTATTGCATCTAATCACAACTACGGTAATATTAGCTAATTACAACGTAATTTTAACTGCAATTGCAGTAGGTAATTATAACTACGTAATTAGGAAAGTAATTGTCTCTGATAATTAGAATTACTTAACATAGTGAAATTATGATCATAATTGTAATTCTAAGTGTAGTATGCAATTGTAATAAAATTATGCAATTACTAAGTAGTTATAGTTAAAAAGTAGCTGTTTTTTTAATTACAATTACAATTTACGTAATTTCATTTAAATTACAATTACTCTATATTTGTGAAATCCAATTTCATATTCAATGCAACTGCAATCATATAATCTAATTACAATTACACTGTCATTGTAACTCCAGTAAGTAATTATAATAATGTAATTAGGATAGCAATTGTTTCTGATAAAAGCAGTTACGTAGCCCAGGAAAATCATGATCTTAATTGCAAATGTAATTGCAGAATGCAATTGAAAACACATAGTAATTGGAATAATATTATGCAATTATCTTGTAATTACAATGTAACAATTTTTAATTACATATACAATTTACTCAAATGCATTTTAATTATAATTGCATTTTAATTGTGAAATCTAATTGAATAAACAGTATAACTGTAATTATATATAATCTAATAAAAATTACAATGCAATTGTAATGACCTCTTAATTAAAATTGCGCAGCAGATGATTGTAACTATTTAATCAGAAAAACAACTGCCCCTTATAATTTCAGTGACATAGGCTAAGGAAATCGTGATAATATTTGAAAATTACAGTCAATAATATTATATTCGAAATGTTTCTGCATTTTGGATAATGAGTTTTTAAATAATACAACGGGATAATCACCTATAAGAAAAATATTAATATTTTCTGTCATGTCTTCTGAATCATCTTACATATATTGTAGTTTGTGGTACCAGCATAAATAGGAGTTTATTTAAAGGAAATATTTTATATAGACCGAAATGCACATAACGTTAGTAAGCAAATATGTATGTTTATGATCTTCGATATACATGTGAACTTAAATTACAAGATTAAGGGAAAGCAAGCAAAGAGTTTATGCCAGTGCAAAGGGATGTTTTCGCAAAGGATTTGTTACGGGACGCTTGTCTTGTTTACATTACACAAGAAATAAATCATAAAAATTACATTTATCCTTTTCTTTTTCAGAAAGGAGATCATCAAGGACTAAACTAAGTCTCATAATTTTATCCAACCTATTGCTTTAGCTGGTAAAAAAGGATTCTGATCAGCAATCAGTATGCTTAATTGCTGTGTGTATTAGACATTTTACTAAATCCATTTATTATGAATTACCGCCCAGACAGTAAAGCGGTTCGTGACTCTGGTTGCCGTACCGAAGAGCCTGGGTTCGAATCCCGGATAGGGCATGAATGTAATTTGTTCGTCCTCTTCATAGGTGGCAACGGTGGCCCACGTATTAGTTCCCTCCTTAATAACATGACCGGCCTTAGTAGTGATCAATGTCTATAAACGGCTACTACCTGCCTGCCATTGGAAAAAAAAAATTACGAATTGGTCTTTTATTCAACATAACACACATTTTCCATAAATAGTTAAAATGCATTATTCAGTTACAAGTGAAAGTACTTGCATGAACTATTTTCCATCATTGTTTCACGTAAGAACAAATAAAAGTACAATTTTCTTATGCACCTGTGATTGTCATATTATTTGGATTACGGTAAAGACTGCAAAGATGCTTCTGTGGAGGACTTTCTAAGGGAAACTGGCTCATGTTCACATCACCCGTTAATAAAAGCAGGAAAAGATCTTTATTTAATTGAATGCAACGAAACGTTTAAGAAGAATGATGTACTCATAGAGAACTTTCTAAAATAAAATGATTTGTATTCATGTTACACATAAGGAAATCCACGGAGCTATCTAAACATTTAGATTGTTTGCCAAAATGGGCATCCGATTTGAACTAGTAGTATTCAAAAGACGACTTATTACTCTGCTGAGCGAAAAATCTAATTGCTTTTGAAGTTATATTGTAATTCGAACAATCATTGTATTACAATTATTATTATTATTTTTACTTTTATTTTTCCCAATGGCAGATTGGGAACAGTTACAGTGCAACACAGTCCATTAGTCTATACAAGGCCAGAAGTTGCAGTCACTTTATTATGGAGGCATCTAATATGTGGGCCACTATCGCCTCCTATGAAAGG